CATAGATAGCTGCGAATCAAACAAGACACCTAAGTTTCTAGCACTTGACGAAGCACTAACCAATTCTTCACCAATTGCGATACTAGACAAAGGACACGAGTCTTGTGAGAATCTCCGAGACGACATGCACACAAATTCAGTTTTCGACACATTCAAAAGTAGGAAATTACAAGACATCCAATCGCTAACGTCTTGAATACATGTCTGAAGTATCACCCGGGCGCGAATTTGATCATCTTCAGAAACCGATAAATAAATCTGTGTGTCATCGGCGTAAAAATGATATTTTACGCAGTGACGTCGCAATAACTCGCCCAATGGACGCATGTACATTGAGAACAATAATGGCCCTAAGACGGAGCCCTGTGGAACACCGGTTTCTAATATAGACGTCATATCAGAAAATACATTTCCAATTTTCACTTTTTGAATGCGGTTACTCAAATACGACTCAAACCATTTGATGATGAGACCATTCATTGGCTCAATTGTTACATAGAACACCTTCAGTCAGTATGCAAATTAGATTCATTGGCTCAATTGTTACATGGAACACCTTCAGTCAGTATGCAAATTAGATTCATTGGCTCAAGAGGATGCACAGTAAAACATTTACACACAAACATTACACAGTAAATTTCGGATCAACAATAAATAGAAAATGCAATAATTTTACATAATTGTAGATTTAATGAAAAATTATTTTGTTTTGCTCGTTTTTCCCTGTTCGCTACCTTAAGGGGCAAAGTATTCTACATTGTGATAGTTTGCTGATTTTGTATACTACATGTAAGTGTTTGCTATAAATATTTCATTGTTGCAAAATGCAATATAAAATACATTTTTTTTATAAATGCACAGGGATATTGTTTAAAATCCTAAATATTTTCAGTAACCATATTTTAGCCCTCCCCATTCATTCAGAGTCAAATTTAAATGGTGTGAGTTGATATTACTCACAATACAACTAATATAGTAAGCTTGATAAACTAACATCTTAATCCACAAACTAACATTATTTACATGTAACATTATTGGAACTGTCCTATATGTTTCAAAAGTTACAACAATGATGATTTTAGCTCAATGGACTGTAAGATGGTGCTCCATTTGTTGGCTGTATGTCTGCCTCAAATACAAAATCATATAGTACATCTTCAATCATCACATAATACAACATATCAATTCAAAACCATATAGTATGACTTCAATCACTTAACACAACATATCAATTCAAATCTATGTAGTATGACTCCAATCACATCATACAACATAGGAATTCAAATATATGTAGTATGACTCCAATCACATAATACAACATAGGAATTCAAAACCATGTAGTATGACTTCAATCACTTAACACAACATAGCAATTCAAAACCATGTGATATGACTCCAATCATATAATACAACATCGGAATTCAAAACCATATAGTATGGCTTCAATCACATAATACAACATCGGAATTCAAAACCATGTAGTATGACTTCAATCACATAATACAACATAGGAATTCAAAACCATGTAGTATGACTTCAATCACATAATACAACATAGGAATTCAAAACCATGTAGTATGACTCCAATCACATCATACAACATAGGAATTCAAATATATGTAGTATGACTCCAATCACATAATACAACATAGGAATTCAAAACCATGTAGTATGACTTCAATCACTTAACACAACATAGCAATTCAAAACCATGTGATATGACTCCAATCATATAATACAACATCGGAATTCAAAACCATATAGTATGGCTTCAATCACATAATACAACATCGGAATTCAAAACCATGTAGTATGACTTCAATCACATAATACAACATAGCAATTCAAAACCATGTAGTACGACTTCAATCACATAATACAACATAGGAATTCAAAACCATGTAGTATGACTCCAATCACATCATACAACATAGGAATTCAAATATATGTAGTATGACTCCAATCACATAATACAACATAGGAATTCAAAACCATGTAGTATGACTTCAATCACTTAACACAACATAGCAATTCAAATCCATATAGTATGACTTCAATCACATAATACAACATAGGCATTCAAATCTATGTAGTATGACTCCAATCACATCATACAACATAGGAATTCAAATATATGTAGTATGACTCCAATCACATAATACAACATAGGAATTCAAAACCATAAAGTATGACTCCAATCACATAATACAACATAGGAATTCAAAACCATGTAGTATGACTTCAATCACTTAACACAACATAGCAATTCAAAACCATGTGATATGACTCCAATCATATAATACAACATCGGAATTCAAAACCATATAGTATGGCTTCAATAACATAATACAACATAGCAATTCAAACCATATAGTATGACTCCAATCACATAATACAACATAGGAATTCAAAACCATGTAGTATGACTCCAATCACATAATACAACATAGGAATTCAAAACCATGTAGTATGGCTTCAATCACATAATACAACATAGCAATTCAAAACCATGTAGTATGACTCCAATCACATAATACAACATAGCAATTCAAAACCATGTAGTATGACTCCAATCACATAATACAACATAGCAATTCAAAACCATATAGTATGACTTCAATCACATAATACAACATAGCAATTCAAAACCATGTAGTATGACTCCAATCACATAATACAACATAGCAATTCAAAACCATTAGTATGACTCCAATCACATAATACAACATAGCAATTCAAAACCATATAGTATGACTTCAATCACATAATACAACATAGCAATTCAAAACCATATAGTATGACTTCAATCACTTAACACAACATAGCAATTCAAAACCATGTAGTATGACTCCAATCACATAATACAACATAGCAATTCAAAACCATGTAGTATGACTCCAATCACATAATACAACATAGGAATTCAAAACCATATAGTACTACCCCAATCACTTAACACAACTTAGCAATTCAAATCCATATAGTATGGCTTCAATCACATAATACAACATAGCAATTCAAAACCATGTAGTATGACTCCAATCACATAATACAACATAGCAATTCAAAACCATGTAGTATGACTCCAATCACATAATACAACATAGG